AGGAAATATATTGCTTACAAGGGAAAAAGAGAAGAAGAATCAGAGGAAATGGAACAGAGGCAGAAAGAGAGGAGCGGATAAAGAAAGGGAAGAAAGAGAAGGGGAAAAGAGAAGAATAAATGAAAGAAACGAAGAATTGGATAAAAGGCCAAGATGTTAGACTTTCGTAGAAGACATTTTGCAACTTAGTAGGAGAGAGAGAGAGAGAGAGAGAGAGAGAGAGAGAGAGAGAGAGAGAGAAGAGAGAGAGAGAGAGAGAGAGAGAGAGAGAGAGAGAGAGAGATCAAATAAATATAGAGTAGCAAAGGGATGAATATAGAATAAAAAGACTAAAAAGAAAAGAAGGAAAAAAGAAGAGAGGATGAGAGAGGAATAGATAGATAGATACAGAGATAGATAGATAGACAGACAGACAGATAGATAGATAGATAGAAGAAGAGAGAGAAAAGAGAGAGAGAGAGAGGGAAAGAGAAAGACATAGAGAAGAGAGAAAGCGAGGGAAAGAGAAAGACAGAAAAGGCAGAAAAAAGAAGAGAGAAGGGAAAAGACAAAAGACAGAAGAGGGAAAGAGAGAAGAGAGGAAGAGAGCGAGAGAGCGAGAGAGAGAGCAAAGGAAAGACATACATGCACAGGCGCACTCTCTGGCGTCGATGTGGATGCTGCGTCGTGTCTCTCCCGGTCACAATTTATCGAAAATTAAACGGATAAATAAATCAATTTTGGGATTTTCTGTCTTTTTTTATGCTACTCTGATTTCATTTATATTTTCCTCCCTCTTTCTCCTGTATCTACTCGTCAATAGATAAGGTATAAGTCGATCGATACTTAAAGGTGTGAATCTACTTGAGTGGCGGTTTGTATAAATTCCAAGACATCCTTCAAAAAAGATGAAGATAATGCTATGAGAATGAAAGACTATCGCTTTTGTAGACGATGGAAAAATGGACGAACAGATAAACCAATCTATAAATAAGATCCTAAACTCAAAAAATACACTTAATCACTCACCATTTTGCTTCGAAAAGTCTAGGGTGTCGATCACAACACAGAGGATACGATTCACAGGAGGTGGACAAGGGGCCTCCCGAACGCTCTCCAACTCGTGTCTGGTGCAAAGAGCCGCGCCGCTCCCTTTATATACCTGCCGGCGATGAGTCACGTGACCAGACGGACGAAGAGGCGGCGGTCGCGGAGGGTCGGAAGGAGGGGGGGAGGGGAAGGGGGAAGGGGTAAGGGATAGGGGGTAGGTTAAGGGTGTTGGGGAAGGGGCGCAGAAGGAGAGAGAGAGAGAGAGAGAGGAGAGAGAGTGGGGGTTAGGGGGTGGAAGGAAGGGGGGGATGGGGAGAAGGTTTGGGGGCTTCGGGGCTTTGCGGTATGGGAAGGGAGAAAGAGAGTGAGAGAAAGGGGGGAAGGGGGGGAGAAAGGGTAGTAAGAGGAGAGAGAGAAAAAACGCGAGGAATGGAAAAGAGAGAGAATATGTAAGACAAAAAGAGAGGGGGTCATGAGAGGGAAAGGAGAGAGAGAGAGAGGGAGAGGAGGAGGAGAATGAGAGGAAAGATGGGAGAGAGAGGAGAGAGAAGAAGTGAGAGAGAAACGAAAGGACGAATAAAAGAGAAAGACTAGAAAGTGAGAAAAAAACGACGAGAAGAAGAGAAAGAAGAGGAGAGAGAGAGGAGAGAGAGAGAGAGAGAGAGAAGTGAGAGCAAGCAAGAGGAGAAAAAAGAAAAAGAAAATCATGATAAAAAAAATGAAACAAAAGATAAATAAAAAATTCACCAGAACCCAGGTCAAAAATGGCGAACATATGACCTTTTCACTTTCCATAAATTCTAGATCATTCCACGTTTTTCCATTTTTATATTTTTCCTTTTTTTTTTCCCTGACGGTGAGGGGGGGGGGGTAGAGGTGGCAGGCTTTTATGTATGAATTCTAGATTTTTATTTATTTATTTATTTTCCTTTCTAAATAAACGACTAATCCATAAATAATAATTGCCTTACTGAATTTCTAAAGATATTAAATTCAGGAAATACGTTATTAATTAATAAAGATTTATTACAATAAAAACAGTTGTTTATTACGTTATCCATTGAAACCACACGGATAAAAAAAGTCGATGGAGGGACACACATACATATAGTTTGTGTATGTGTGCTGCTGTGTATGGCATGTGTTGTGTGTGTGTGTGTGTGTGTGTGTGTGTGTGTGTGTGTGTGTGTGTGTGTGTGTGTGTGTGTGTGGTGTGTGTGTGTGTGTGTGTGTGTGTGTGTGTGTGTGTGTGTGTGTGTGTGTGTGTGTTGTGTGTGTTGTGTGTGTGTGTGTGTGTGGTTGTTTGTGTTGTGTGTGTGTGTGTGTGTGTGTGTGTGTTGTGTGTGTGTGTGTGTGTTGTGTGTGTGTAATGAGTGTGTGTGATGTGTGTGTGGTGTTGTGTGTGTGGTGTGTATGTGTGTGTGTATGAGTGTGTGTGTTGTGTGTGCTGTGTGTGGTGTGTTGTATGTGTGTCGTGTGTGGTGTGTGTGTGTGTGTGTGTGTGTGTGTGTGTGTGTATGTGTGTGGTGTATGAGTGTGTGTGTGTGTGTGTGTGTGTGTGTGTTTTGTATGGTTAGTCGGGTTTCTAATTTCTATATTTTAGGTAAAAATCACTATCTCAGTATTTTCGAAATATTTAAGCAATACTCAACTTCTATGGTCATAAACATTCTGCTCTCATACTTATCTTCCTCACCAACATTTCCATTCCCTTTGCTCCAACAAATAATACTTCCACAGTAACACCTACTTCGCTACCAACGGTTGCTCCCACAGTAATACCTGTTTCCCCAACAACGGCTGCTCCCACAACGACAGCTGGGCCTCCAACAATGGCCCTTCATACAACAAAACCTCAGGACGAAATACCATTTTTAGCGACAGGGATGACATCTATAACGGCAAATGCCCCTGCGACGCCTATAGTAGGAACACAGTCGGCAACAGAACAGCTGAAAACATTGGCTAAAGAGCTGCAAGAAAAAGAGGAAATTCTTGTAAAAAAAGTGGATAACTTGACTCGTGTGCTTGCTCTCCTTGGCATTCTCAAAAAGCATTTCAAGAGTGGAGGTCGACATCTGAGATCCCACAGATCTGCAGCATTAATAGTAAGTACATGTCACATTAACGTAACGTTGTTTTCTATTTTTCTATTCCATGTAGGCCCAGTTTCTTTGTTTTCAATTCATTCATGGACATACATGATATATGATAATGCTTATCATATATTTCCTATACTCCTTCACACACATTCTCCATTCACTATCAATATACGACACATATTCTTATAACTTATAACTTTTTTCATACTTTGTTATTTAATCTCCCAAAATCTTTATTTCGGTTTCTCTTCAATTTTGTGCCATATTTTATTATAGTTATGGAATATCACTAGTGGCTAACGGATATACATTACCTGACCACATGAATAAAGAAACATAACAGTTTTTTGAAACAACAATACCAAGCTCTCCCCTTTACAGACAGTTGACGGCTGTACTGAAAGTAGACCAAAAGAAATTGGCAGCTTTACTACACTTGTACAAGTAATCATTACAAAAATGGTAGATGCAATCATCTCCAGAAATCCTGTGAGTATTTAAATGAAGTTTCTGGTTTTGTACTTGAAAATAAGAGATGGAATCAGTCAGTGTATACAAGAAGTTTGAATAGGTATTCATTGTATATTATCCTTATCACAGCTGGCATCATGCCGAATCAACCAGTTACAAACCCTCACTACCAGTGTTGTCCAAGGCGACGTTTCCATGCCCGAAGATATCAACCCTTTGATTGAAACCATCGAAAGAGCAGTGAGACAACTAAACGGATTCCTGAATGAAATCAAGAAGGTGAGGTGTCGATATTTTTTTCATAATTTATTTGATTACCCGCATGTGGTGTGTGCTCTAACATCAAATAATAAGTAACGCTAGACATTCTGAAATAAAATACTGAAATGTGTTTATATTCAGGCTAATAGTAAAATCTAATATCTATTGTTTTAACAGAAAAAGGCAGAGATACAAAAATTGATACACAAAATAAAGCAAAAGATAGAAGAACAACAAAAATTACGTAAGTATTCAACAGAATATTTTATATGTCCACAATAGGTCAAACATGCTTGTCATGCAAATTGAGTTCTTGTGAGTCATTAAGGGGAATCTTAAATTTTACGATGATTAAATGACTTTGGTATTATCTCGTTATGATTTGTTTGTCATTCTCGGGAGTAGGTCTAGCCCTGGTAAGCAAATTTTACTTGCAAGAGGTTTGGTGAGGGTTCATTACACGCTTATATTTATAAAATTCTTATAAAAGGCTGTTAAGATTACTCCTGTAGTTATTTCTTCATTTCTATTTCCAGTAAGGTAACATAAAGGAAATCTAAAATATTCATAGCTTTCGGTTTCTTGATCTCTCTGAGAACGTGAATAATTATAGGCCAAGCCCTCTTGATTGTGATCGCTTTCCACACCCACACACACACTCCCAACCTATTTGTAAGTTTGATCGGTGTTTGATGAGTGTGTAGGTACTGTATGATGTATGAGCACGGATTATATAGAACAATCATATTTGACTTACTGTGGGTTGTTATGTGTATGTATATGAAGAAATATGATATACATATTCAAATATGTACACATGTAAAGATATGTAATAATTAAAAAAGCGTTAAATCATAAGAAAACAATTTAAATGCCAATATATCTTTCTCACAAGAGAAAAATTAATAAGATTAAACAGTTTATTTGCGCCTTCTAACTTGCTTCTCAAAAACCTCGTTGCTGAAATAAAAGTTTTACCAACAACCAGCAACTGGGAATGGCAGTCTTTCCATCAGTTTGACATCTTCCACAGCTAATGGAGATGCAAGAACATCAGCTTCAGCAACGTCTATTCCAACAACGTCTGCTTCAGCAACGTCTATTCCAACAACGTCTGCTTCAGCAACGTCTATTCCAAAAACGTCTGCTTCAGCAACGTCTATTCCATCAACGTCTGCTTCTGCGACGTCTATTCCAACACCGTCTACGTCAGTAACGTCTATTCCAACAACTCGTG